CGTTGTGATAAATATGACGACAAAGATGAGGACAATATTCCGAATAATGTAAATACCTCATTTCAGAAATATAGATGGATACTGACATTTTTTCCCATTTCACTGAATCAGGCGTTAAATACGTATTGTCTTTTCCACTTCTTCTTCTCTTCTTACGGGGTATTGAAGTAGACCTCATGTTATGAATGCTGACGTTGTAACAAATAAAGAATAGATCACGACTGACCTCTGATTTATACAAGTTGTATTCAACAATATTATAAATAAGTCCTTGCAAACTTAATGGTGTCTGCGACCAAAGTTATCTGTTAAAAAAGAGTCGATATTTTCGCCATCTACGGAGGCTGCGGTGATAACGGTGTAGAGCTGGCTTATTCTGCAAGTGTTCATTTCCTAGATCTTACCAAGAGTGAATGTTCTTCAAAAAGAGATAGAAAAGCGCACCAATGAGCAGATTTAAGCTGATTGGCTAACTTTAAACTGCCAAGGGCAGATAATCGTATTTTTCATAAGAGAGAAATGACTTCCGTTAGTCTGTCCATCACACCCTCTAAAATAGCCATACATTGACCGATCAAAACCAAATTTTGGGGAGAGGTGCAAACAGGTAAGCAGGTACAAAGTACAGTTGGTTTTACTAGGATGCATTAAAAACCACGAAATAGGGTTTTTGTCTAAGTACTTTCCAAACAAATCAGCTTATTAAAATTTCATCGATTGATTTGCGGGGAATTGAAGTGGTCCCATATATGATTCCCACATACATTGTAATAAATAGAGAATAGAACGCGACTGACCTCTGATTTATACAAGTTGTATTAAACAATATTAAAAATAAGTCCTTGCAAACTTAATGGTGTCTGCGACCAAACTTATCTGCTAAAGAAGAGCCGATGTTTTCGTCATCTACGGACTATGTGGTGATAACGGTGTAGAGCAGGCTGGTTCTGCAAGTGTTCATTTCGTATGTCTTAACAAGAGTGAGAGTTCTTCAAAAAGCGGTAGAAAAGCGCGCCAATCAGCAACTGTAAGTTGATTGGTTAACCTTAAACTGCCAAGGGCAGATAAATTATATCTCTTATTTCTCAAATTCTTGCTTTCATTTTCGCACTGAATTCAAGTAGTGTCCTTTTCCGTCTTTTCATGTGATCAAAACGGAACAGTCCATTATTTATCAGGTGTTAGCTGGAGATGATAAACACTTCTATCTTCCATTCTTTCTTTCCTTCTTTCTTTATTTCTTTCTTTTTCTTTCTTTCTTTTGTTTTCTTACTGAAAGCAAGTTGTATCTTTTCTACTCTTTCTACGCGATCAAATCGAAATAGTCCATTATTCATGAGGTACTGGCAAGACGTAACGGCCGTGCGAACTAACGAAAGGAAGAAGAAAAACAATTATAATAGGATCTTATCTGAAATTTTTATTAAATGAAATATTGTCAACCAATATTAATTTTTAACTAGCATTTCTTTCATCTTAATTACACTTGCTTTCTTTCAAACTAGTAGTATTAGTAGTAATAATATAAACTAGAATTTTTATAAGATGACGCATTGTCAGCCATTATTCATTTTTGACTAACATTTCTTTCATCTTCATTTAAATTGCTTTATTAGTATTTGTAGTAGTAATATTATCTGAAATTGATAGTATCAGTTAACGATCACAAGTCCCGCAAAAAAAAAAAAAAATGAAAATTAATATTGATGTGGATGTGGAGGTACCTTTTTATTAAACCGTAAAGGGATGAGCTCGAAATGCGATTTGCAGATCGGGGACATTAAAATCAAACAGGTGCGGAAGTTTAAATATCTGGGAGGTGTTTTGACGGAGGACGGTAAGTGTGATGCTGAGATTCGAAGACAGATTTGGATGGCCAAAGTCGTATTCCAAAAGCTGGGCAGAGTATTACGAGACAGGTGGGTTTCTTTAGTAACAAAGAAAAGAGTACTGACATGCTACGTGACATCTGTCCTACTTTACGGCAGAGAATATTGGACTGTCTCCTCAAAGATGAAGAAGAGGCTCGAGGCAACAGAGGTATGCTTCTACAGAAGGATGCTAAGGATATCATGGTGCGAGCTTGTGAGCAACGATGAGTTTTTGAAGAGAATGCAAACAAGGAGGAAGTTTATATTTAACATCAGGAAGAGGTAGATGATAAAACCATGAAAATGAAAATATATGACGGGAAAGAGACAGGTGTGAATTTATTTAGGCAAGAACTTTAAAGTTGATTCCAAGAAAAGATTTTGAAGATTGAAAGATGATTTTTGTTTTTCATTATTTTGGGTTCCAGCATGAAAATAGCTTTTCAATAATGGATATCAGTTTTCCTTTACGGCAGCGAAATGTTGAACGGTCTCCTCAAAGATGAAGAAGAGACTCGAGGCAACGGAGGTATGGTTCTACAGAAGGATGCTAAGGATATCATGGACCGAGCTTGTGAGCAACGATGAGGTTTTGGAGAGGATGTAAACAAGGAGGAAGTTTATATTTAACATCAGGAAGAGGTAGATGATAAAACCCTGAAAATGAAAATATATGACGGGAAAGAGACAGGCGTGAATTTATTTAGGCAAGAACTTTAAAGTCGATTTCAAGAAAAGATTTTGAAGATTGAAAGATGATTTTTGTTTTTCATTATTTTGGGTTCCAGCATGAAAATAGCTTTTCAATAATGGATATCAGTTTTCCTTTACGGCAGCGAAATGTTGGACGGTCTCCTCAAAGATGAAGAAGAGACTCGAGGCAACGGAGGTATGGTTTTACAGAAGGATGCTAAGGATATCATGGACCGAGCTTGTGAGCAACGATGAGGTTTTGGAGAGGATGTAAACAAGGAGGAAGCTTATAGTTAACATCAGGAAGAGGCAGCTGAAATTTCTGGGACACGTAATGAGAAAGGAGGGCTTGGAGAATCTGATACTCACAGGTCGAATAGAGGGAAAGAGAGACAAAGAAAAAATTGCATGACATACCTGGCGGGCTTAAGCAGGTGGATGACAGAACGTAGTCTGGGGGGAGGTGGCAGAGAGACGAAAACTTATTGAGAGCTACAAGGGATAGGGGGAAGTGTAGAGCCATGATCGCTTACGCCCTGAAAGGACACGGCATATAAAAAGAAAGAAAAAAAGAAAATTAGCGATGACGTAACAAAGGGATTTCTTTTTGCAATTCTTCATCGGAGAACCTTCGCTGCGCTGTGTCCTTAATTCTTTTTGTGTCCGAATGCAGGTGATTTGCTCGAAGTTTAAATTCCGTGTTTTTCTAAGGTCCTTACTAAAGTGTTTTTTTTCTTACATGTTTAAAAAAAGAACCAGTCCTACCGTTATCATCAAATGAGGTTAGAATGAACAGACACAATGTATAAACAAATTCTAGTTCTTTGTTATTCATTATCATTTCCTATCAAAGACGATACCAAACCAGCCGTGCATAACGACTAGCTGCGCTGGGGAAAAGTTTCAAAGCAGAAAAAACATTAAATCAGTCATGGGCAAACCGCGGACCGCGGGCCACATGCGGACCGATCGGCTTTCTGAATGTCACGCCTAATTTCATGAGGAAAATAACGTTTATTTTAATGTTGCTTGTTTTCTTTCGTTCTCGTTTGTTCAGCCGCTCCACTCATGCATACCCAGATAGATAAACAATGATTAAATACAATTTTTTTTTAATTTTTGTAACTTTCGTTGAAGCTAACGTTGTCAGCATTTTCACTAAGGAAGACCATACGCGCAAACACCTTTGCTTTCAAAAACAGAAAACCTCAATGATAATTAGTTTTCTCTAGAAAACATTTTTGCATTATCAAATGAATAAATTAGAAACAAAACACACAGAGCTGTGTGTGTTAATCATCGGTTATAATTTTATATTAAGACTACGTTTATTTTATTATAGAAAGAAAAAACTAATACTCACCCAATACAAGGCCCAAGAGCTACTCAAGGTAGAAGGTTTCAGTGTAGAGTTATATTGATATAGGAATTATTTTGAATTTCATTTATTTCAAAAAGTTAAATGTTAACGTATACTGCATTTATAAAATTTCTTTTTATTCTTTTAAAAATTGTTCAGTTTTATAGATGTATATAGAACTGCATTTAAATGAAAGACAAGTCAGACTAACGATCTCTTCTTTCATCCTAACAATTCGACACTGTTCTATTTCCCCGCCCTGTCGGTTGGAGCTTCAGAATATGCCAACTCCACCTCTGCAGATAATTATGCTCCCCACCCCCACCATCAAGTGTGGCGTTCTGGGTAAGACGATAAACTACATCCACATCCTGGGTAAGACGATAAACTACATCTGACACCAAGACCTCTGATCAGGAGGTTTTGAGGAGCGTGTGACCACCTCTTAATTGCTGGTATTCCTAGGTCTACCCTGAGTCGGGGTGGTAGAACCTGTTAGGGTTTCAGCTATGGGCAAATAGTCCACCCCCAAACTGGGGTCAAGATACTATGAAAGTGTAAAAATAGGTTTTAATACCAGCAATTAATTTTTGAAGAAAAATTATTACCAGCAATACATTATTACCAACAATACATTTTCCCCGCAAAATTATTACCAGCAATACATTTTTGCAAAAAAAATATTAGCAGCAATAAAAAAATCTTGTCGGCATTAAATAACCCATTGAGTTTGAAATGCCGTAAAACAAACCAAATCAAACCAAACTGTCCTTCTTCAGATAGGCCAATCTGAGTAATCTTCAAGAAATCTTCAACTGAAGACTTTATTTATGCCCATGGTCTTTTGTTGGGAAAATTGTTGCTGTACCTTAATGAAAAATTACCTTGATCTTTTTTAGTAGGGCTTCCAGCCTTATGATGAACTGTGCCACATGCTACTCACTGTTCGATAAAAAGTGCCCATATCTACATTAAATGCCTACTCTTAAATTCGGTAATATCCTAATAATCGTTGCCGGACTAGAGGTGCAATTGTAGCCCCAGTTGCATGATTTCATCTTCTCCGATGAGTGTCTATGCGTTTGTATTCTTCTTCTTCTTCTTCTTCTTCTTCTGCTGCTGCTGCTGCTACTACTACTACTACTACTATTACCACCACCACCACTACTACTATTACTACTACTTCTGCTTTCTTTTTTACCTCCACAACTACTACTTCTTTTTTATCCCTTCTCTTTCTTCCTTACTTCTCTCCACTTTCTCAGCATCTTTTCCTACTCCTCTTTTCCCCTCTTTTTTTATTTCCAATTCTTTTACTAACTCCCAGCTCCCCTTTACTCCTTCCTCTACTCCTCCTTAATTCTCTATTGTTCCCACAATCAACTTCTCCCCAATTTTATATTCCTCATATATTTCAGTTCTTCTTCTTCTTCTTCTTCTTCTTCTTCTTCTTCTTCTTCTTCTTCTGTTACTTTTCCTTCATGTTTACCTTCTTTTTGCTTCTTTCTTTTTTTTAAATTCCTTCTCTTCTTCAACTTTTTCTCATCCGGGTTTCTCTTCTTTTTCTTGCTGTTTTCCTTCCTCACCCTTCTTCTTCTTTCCAAATTCCTCCGTTACTTTCCCTTCATGGTTACCTTCTTTTTCTTCCTTTTCTTCTTCTACTTCTTCTCATCTTCGTTTTTCTTTCTTGCTGTTTTTCTTCCTCGCATTTCGTCTTCTTTCCAAATTTCCCCATTTCTTTTTCTTAATGGTTACCTTCTTTTTTTCTTTTCTTCTTTTTTGTCCTTTTCATTTCTGTCTTTTCCCTTTTCCTCCTCCTCCTCCTCCTTCTTCTTCTTCTTCTTCTTCTGCTTCAGCCTCTCTTTTTTCTTTTCCTTGATCGTCAATACTAAACAAGTGGCATCGCCCGCTATAACGCCATGAAGAAGTATTAGCGCTAATGACATACTTCAACCGATTCGCACTGAAAATAGATCCCTTCGTCTGACAAGGAGCCACCAATGTACGAACACTCCAGAAAATCCAATCACTTAAATCGCATTATACGATAGTGGTCCCGTTAAAATAGCTGCAAATCGAAACAAAAAAAAATTAAACAATATCAATACAGAAAGAAAGAAGAAAGAAAAAAACGCTTCAGACGAGTTGGCTAAGAATCCAGTTATTCCAAATTGTTGCAAGACAGAAATAAAAGTCGTAGAGTTCGAATTCTTATTTCTTTCTTTTGTATGTTCCGTGTCTCTTCAGGCGGTAGGCGATCATGGCTCTCCACTTCTCCTATCCCTTGTAAGTCCTATAAGTTTTGTCCCTTTACTACTTTCTCCAGTCCGTGTTCTGTCATCCATTGTTTAAGGCCGCCAGTTATGTCATGCGTTGCTTTCCCTTGTCCCTGTTTCGACCTGTGAGTATCAGATTCTCCAAGCCCTCCTTTCTTATTAAGTGTCCCAGAAATTTCATCTGCCTCTTCCTCATGTTAAGTATAAGCTTCCTCCTTGTTTACATCCACTTCAAAACCTCAATGTTGCTCACATGGACGTCCCATGGTATCCTTAGCATCCGAAGTTGCAGTCTTTGTTTTATTTTTATGTGCCGTGTCCCCTCAGGACGTAGGCGATCATGGCTCTCCACTTCCTTCTATCCATTCTAGCTCTCAGTAAGTTTTGTCCTTTTGCTACTTCCCAGGGCCATGTTCTGTCATCCACGTGCTTAAGCCTGCCAAGTATGTCATGCGTTGTTTTCCCTCTATTCGACCTGTGAGTATCAGATTCTCTAGGCCCTTCTTTCTCATTCCGTGGCCGAGAAATTTCAGCTGCCTCTTCCTGATGTTAAGTATAAGACCCCCCCCCCACCGTCGATTGCATCCTCTACAAAACCTTATCCGCGTCAGGATTATACATTAATTAGGTATATTACTGTTAGGGGACCTTACCCATAATAACATAATGTACTATTCCATACGTAATAAATACTGCGCCTCAAGAGGAAGCAGGGAGTGCAGTCTGAAGTCTGGAGTTTCTTTTGAAGTCTGGGGTGAGGTTCGTCAGGAGTCTGTCAGTCAGTCAGAGCGAGTCAGTCAGTCGAGTCAGAGGCAGTGCGAAACAGAGTCGCATTCAGACAATTACTACTAAACCTGATTGTTCATACTAACACTTCTACTTCTCTGTATATATTCCTGTTTGAAATATATCTGTGTTATTCCATACCTGTGTTCGAGTTCTTCTTTATTGGTTCTACCTTGGACTATCACCGTGGTAAAAGGAACCGGACCATAACAATTACGTTTTCGGGAAATATGCTTTTCATTGCGTCCTTATTTGGTAGTCGTCATGCTTTTCATAAACTAAGCAAAGAATTAAGAGATAGGAACTAATTTATTTAATTTAAATAGGCACCATGTTGATGAATGATTGTCCCCCAACGTATCTCTAAATTCTTGTACCAATCAAAGGAACTTTTGTCCATAAAATCCCAATTCCTTCAGGGAATTTGAATGGCCCTATAATGGTTTAGTCAACAATTCGAGCCTATATTTTCACTCTGCCGCTTCCTTGCTGTCGCCTTTTAGTCACAGACACATCTGCAGTAAATAAAATTCTTCCATTGTCCAAGTCATCAGATCCATCAACTGTTACCCCGGACTTGTCCTTGTAAATTACGTCAATTTTTCTGTATTTCTTGGCACAATTTTGAGACTTGCTGAGTGTTGGTTTGTATTGCATCTTATAGGTATTTTCTGCCATCTTGTTTGTCACCTTCATATAATTTCATTTTCATATTTTCAATCGGATTCAGATCAGAAGTTGATGTTGGCCATTCTATTATCTTCTCTCCTGTGAAAATTTCTACGCTTAAAAGATTCTTGGGTAACCTTAGGAACAGACGAAGGCTTATTGTAGTGCATAAATAAACATTTCACTTTAAAAATGCATGGCTGGGTCTTGTACCAATCAAAGAAAGTCTAGTTTATGAAATCGCAACTTCTTCAGCGAATTGGTCCTATAATTCTTTGGTCAACAATTCCAGCCTATATTATTCTGCCGCCTTCTTGCTGCGTTTTTTTTTTCGCCACAGGCATATCTGCATTAAATAAAATCCTTCCTTTGTTCCAGCCATCAGATCCATTCAGTGTCACCCGTGATTTGTCAGTGTAAATTACTTTTAAAAATGTTCTTTTTTATTTTATTTCTTGGCCCAATCTTTAACTATTTGCCTTGTTGAGTGTTGGTCTGTATTGCGTCTTATAGTTTTTTTTTCTGTCATCTTCATATAATTTCATCTTCATAATTTTCAATCATATTCAGATCAGAAGATGATGGTGGACATTCTATTATCTTCTCTCCTGCTAAAATTCCTACGCTTAAACGATTCTTGGGTAACCTTAGGAACATATAAAGGCGCATTGTAATGCATAAATACACTTTTCACTTTGAAACAGAATGGCTGGGTCTTGCTCCAAACAAAGAAAGTCTTGTCCATGAAATCGCAATAGTTAGCACTGTTTAATTTAACTCCTTCATCGACTTTGAATGGTTCAATAATGGCGTGGTCGACAATTTCAGCCCATAATATCTCACTGCCGCCTCCATTCTGCCTTACTTTAGCCACAGGCACATCTGAATTAGATAAAATCTATTCTTTGGCCCATGCTTCAGGTCCATCAAGTGTCACACGAGATTTGTCCGTGTAGCTTACTTTAGAAAACGTCTATTTTCCTGTATTTCTTGACCCAATTTTGACGTTTTAAAATATTTGCTTTACTGAGAGGTGGCCAACTTCTAAACAGATCCCAATTTTCGAAATATTCTACACCTTTTGCCTTTCTTATTTCTCTCAATCCCAATCTGTTGAAATATCTGAGCACTGGTTAAAATGTTGATCATTACATTATAATTCCTTTTAATTTGCGTTTCCCTCGACGAGACGAGCTCATAAAGTCTTTTCCTTTGCTTCTAATTCTCAACTTTTATTTTGAACTGCCCTTTTTATCGTTCGACGACCTCTGCGAAACTCCTTTGACATCTCCAATGTGGACATTCGTTCACTCAGTAACTTATTTGCTGGTTTTCCATTACGTATATTTCAACAGGTAATATGAAACATAAAGAAAATTACATTTATTAGATTTGGAGGACTTAAACTAATATTTGTTTCATCTGCATAAAAACGTCAGACTGTAATTTTTGTAATAAATCCAATAATCATACTTATTATAAAACCCAGGTTGTGTGTGTGTGTGTGTGTGTGTGTGTACGTTTATATATGGGATCGGATTTCCTACATTTTTCAACCGATTTCAACAAAACTTCAGTTTTTTTTGGCAGGTAGTGTTTCTTATTTTCTTGCACACTTTTTTCTTTATTTTTACATTCAGAATTCTTCAAAAATTCCATTTACAAGGCAATTGTTTATAATAAAATTCTATTCAATCGGTAGACTCATAACGATTGAAAACAATGTTTTTGTTTGAGTTTGGGTTTGACCAATTCGTAAAAAAAAACAAAACAAAAAAGAAAAAACAAAACAAAAAAAAACTAATTAAGACATACGTGTCCGTCAACCTTAAACAATAATCTTTGTCAATTTTATTTTTCAGTTTTTATGATGGTCGATACTCGATCTATCTCTTACTGTTACATCCCCGGGCAACGCCGGGCTCTACTGCTAGTCTTTAATAAAACTTGTTGAAACCGACTTAAAAATTTATGTCAAGATTTGTTTTGATGTCTAGATTAAACGTTGAATATTTGATAATTTCAATGAACATTCGAGTTATTAAGGTTTATGTGACTTGCATAATTTCAGAGGGACTGTAGTTAAAGCTTTCCAAACAATAGTTATACGTTGATTAATTCATTATTCGTGGTGTTTCTTTAATAGCATTTCTCTAAAATAGACGTATTCCTGGATTTTTCCAGTTCTTCATTCTCGATTTTCTTTATTTTTTTTCAGAAACTTAAAATTGAATATCTGCTTGGCTTAATTTCTATCCCTTTCTAAATATGTATAGATAACTACCCTGTGTTTTTTTTTGTTCACTCTGTATAAGGCCCCGGTGGTACCCTAGGTTGAGGATGACAGAGGAAGAGTTACATGCGGATATGTGTGGAAGATAACGGTTAACGCTGTTCTTGAACAGGTTAAGATTGTAGTGATCGGGGCGGAAGAAGGATTTGTTGTTTTGCTTTCCGTTCATTCTGATGTTAGCGAAGACTCATGAGAGATTTAATTGATATAGATGGGGGTACCAATACTCAGGTAATTAAAATTTTAATTCTAAAATCAAGAAAATAGATGAACGAAAAAGAGCGAAGAAATGGGAAAATAATACAATGAATGCAAACGAATAAAATAAAATAATTAAATGAAAGATTTTTTTCTTTATGTGCCATTTCCTCTCATGACATAGGCGATCATGGCCCCTTCACAACTTTCTCTCTATTGCAGATCTTAATAAATATATCTTTCTC